CATTTGTTCTGGGAATGTCATTTTCGAGCCTGAGACCTGAAAAACAGGCTCAGAGTGGAACAGGTTAATGTAATTCTCCATGTCCACTTGTTGCTGATGGTTGTGGTAGAGGAGCTGTAGATTTTGCACTAACATCTGTAGCATGGTCGAGCTGTAGATGTTGTACTAACATCTGTAGCATGGTCAGTAGCAGTAGCACTAGCAGTAGCTACTGACAGTAGCTACTGGCCATGCTACAGCAGTGAGCAGCAGAGGCGGGGAGAGGTGGGGCTATCGTTATTTTTTCAGGAAATATTCGTATAGAGGCGATTACACGGACTCGTTTGACCCCCCAGAGAGTTTCGTTTGCAAATCTATCCACCTTGGGACCCGTTATCGTTTGTGGGGTCCGTTTGTTACGGCCTCGTGTAAATAATAGAGCTATACGTAAGAGAAACTATGCAGATACAAGCCGTTTCGTTCTCGTGTAAATGTGGCCTTAAAGTGAATACAGTAAAATGTGTATCTAATAACGTCATCACAATCGCCACATTGATATGCAAATTAGGCGTTAACTAGGCTTAATTAAAATGCGCTAATTTGCATGCAGTTACCAAGGCATTGCAGGTGAAAAGGATAAAACAAAAAAACATATCACCTCACAAATTCCCCAGATAGTTACTTACGTCAACTTCGTCAAGTCAGTATTTTCCCCTGAAATGTTATGTTTAAATGCAGATTAGCTTTAAATCTGAATTCAGACATGGTAGTAAAACGAACACCATTTATATGTGTTTCTTGGAAGTTTTATTTCCATTAGAGTGAAAGAAAACATGGAAGCAAAATAGACCAAAATAACAAGTACATGAACAAATGATACTTTTGCCTGTAATGTCCTTAAACAGTAACTTCATAATTTTGAATGTTGGCTGCTCATTTAATAACTATTAATTGTACTAGTTTGTTGTCTGCTCTTGTGCTTAGTGAATACTAAAGAAGACCATTGTCTCTGTGTTAGCTGATTATTTTGTAGAATTCTGTTGAGTATTAAACAATTGCGTGTAGGGTGACCAGATGTCCCGCTTTGCGCGGGACTGCACAGCATTTTCACGACTTTTGGTGCGTCCCGCAAATTGAGACGATGTCCCGCATATTTCATTTTGATTGGCTAAAACGCTTTTCTAAAATCAGATTTATCCAATGGCTGTTGAGAAAGCAGGGAAGGCTATCATCACGGAGCTGTGTTTGCTGTCAATCAAACTGTAAGACACGGCGGGTGCTGGTCAAGTGTTAACCAATGAGAGTAACTCACTCACACACACACCGCCGCGGCCCTGCCAAACAACAACAATGAAAGTCAATAACGCAGGCGACGCAGCAGGTTATGGAAAATGGAGGAAACTGAAACTACAGCTAAGAAAAGAAGAAGATGCACATACAACAAAGACTGGGAAGACATTTACCCGTGGGCAGCGGCGGACTGGGACTACAAATCAGCCCGGGGGGGGGGGGGGGGGGGGGGGGGGATGTTGAGAGGGTGTCCCATATTGTCCCACACAAACATACTCCTTGTCCTTGGGACCTGGTCACCCTAATTGCGTGAGTGTGAGGGTATTCAAATAAATTGGTCAGTAAGTCAGAGATGTGCAACTATATTTAACTTTTTGTTATAAAACACTTTTTTATAAATGATTATGGGAAGTGCCCTTTTTCTCACTTGAAAAACCCGCCCCCCAAAATGTCTGTGCACGTCCCTGCCCATAACAGTTCTATATATAGTGACTTAAACATTTTACAAAACAATACTGACTCTTAGTACAGCGGATAAGCACAACAATTGTGCATTTTATGAGAAAAGCATGACATTTCTAACATAGTTAGTGCATACCATAAGGTTTATTTTCAGATGTGGAGGGAAGTCAGATTTGACCTGTGAGGACCGTGAGAGGTCAAATCCAAGATGGCCGCCAGTCTCTCGGGTCAAATGTTCAAACACGTTTAATTTTGGAACCAAACATTGTAGAAAAACATTTAAGGTGTCATATCCAACTAAATTAGGGATGCCCAATCATTTGATGATACTTTTGAGATCGCCAGAATTCAAGAAAATGCATTTAGGTGAAGATAAAGGTAGAAATTGACCAAAAATAAGCTGTCAATCAGTTGAAATTTGGTGTGTGTGTGTGTGTGTGTGTGTGGTCACCCAGCGCTAGCATTAATACAGAGACTGGAGGAATATGGCTTTACTTGGCACAGTCTGCATGCTGAAGCAAACATTTGTTTTTGTCTTCAAATACATACTTACATGATTGTGACGAGCATAATATTTGCTCCCCGCCCAACTCTCTAAGTGCTTGAACTCCGTGACAGGAGGATGAAGTATGTATAAATGGATGGAACTATCAACAAAACAACAGCGTTTTATTCCCCAATGTCATATTTAATAGAAAAATAATGATGCACCACTTATTGGAGAAAGAAGAATGGGGAACAGAAAGGTTTAGAGAGGGACAACATGCTGAAACCTTGCAACTTCAGTGCCAGAGAAAAAAGGTACTGTGAGTACACTTGTGGTTATTGTCCTCATGTTGCACATAGAAAATTCAATTAAGATGTTTACCGCATGTGGGCAAAAATCCATCAATCTTTCAATTTTCTAAAACTTGTTATATCCTTAGAGTCATTTAAAATGAGTTTTTTTCTCCATGCCATGGAGTCTAAATGGGTAAACCTTTGTATTTGTAATTGTACAGCCATGCTAGGACAAACAAATCCCCTTTGCCAATGTTCTCTCTGCCACACACACAACATACATAACCCTTTCTTTGCATGACCTCTAAATGTCCATGTGAGCCACTAAAGAACAGAAAAAAAGCTGCGCTACCTTGGCTTTATAGGTGGACAGGCAGGGAATCTAACCCCAACCCTCTATAAGTGGAAAGGGACAGCGGTGAACCTTATAGTTGAGTGCAGCCCTTTGTTAACAGCGAGGGTTAAGAGAGCTGTTTGTGCTCTACATGGAACTGTTTTCCATCTCCCTCTTTGGTTTACATTATTATTATTATTATTTTTCTATTAAATATGACATTGGGGAATAAAACGCTGTTTTGTTGATAGTTCCATCCATTTATACATACTTCATCCTCCTGTCACGGAGTTCAAGCACTTAGACTTAGAGAGTTGGGCGGGGAACAAATATGATGCTCGTCACAATCATGTTAGTATGTATTTGAAGACAAAAACAAATGTTTTCATCAGCATGCAGACTGTGCCAAGTAAAGCCATATTCCTCCAGTCTCTGTAGTAATGCTAGCGCTGGGTGACCATAAATCCACTGGAATATACCACACACACACATTTTGCAAATTTCAACTGATTGACAGCTAATTTTTGGTCAATTTCTACCTTTATCTTCACCTAAATGCATTTTCTTGAATTCTGGCGATCTCAAAAGTATCATCAAATGATTGGGTATCCCTAATTTACACACACACACACACACACACACACACACACACACACACACACACACACACACACACACACACACACACACACACACACACACACACACACACACACCAAATTTCAACTGATTGACAGCTTATTTTTGGTCAATTTCTACCTTTATCTTAAACTAAATTCATTTTCTTGAATTCTGGCGATCTCAAAAGTATCACCAAATGATTGGGCATCCCTAATTTAGTTGGATATGACACCTTAAATGTTTTTCTACAATGTTTGGTTCCAAAATTAAGCGTGTTTGAACATTTGACCCGAGAGACTGGTGGCCATCTTGGATTTGACCTCTCACGGTCCTCACGGGTCAAATCTGACTTCCCTCCACATCTGAAAATAAACCTTATGGTATGCTTTTCTCATAAAATGCACAATTGTTATAATATGAGAGCTTATCCGCTGTACTATCTAGCTTATACGGCAGAATTATTTTCGAGCAAGGAATTTAGAGAATGCAATTCCTGAAGAAATTGCTAGTGGGAATGCTTTATGCTTTATGCTGACGCTGAACTGCTATGCTGAAATGTAATGTGTAAGAAGAAAGTGAAGAATTTAGATTGAAATGATACATGAACACTGGGGGCATCTTAGTGCTTTCTCATATATATATATATATATATGAGAAAGCAATAAGATGACAATTCTGTTTTTTTTTTTATGGAACAAGCCCTCAGGATACTTTATTATGTTTTATTATCAGCAAAACAAATAGAGCATTTAAACTCTACCTGGATCATTGTGTTTTTTGGGATTGTTGAGTATATTACAAAGTTGTGGAGTGCAAAATATGCAATCGTGTTAGGCCCCACACTATAAAAATCATTGCAAGACAATAATAAACAAAATTATACAATCAGATAATTAATAGGAACTAATTGTTATTTTAAAACAAATCAATATTTATTTCTATTAACATGCCAAAATGTTTCAGATAATGTTAAAGCATCAATATTTCATTATTACCCTCTTATTTGTGGGTTGGGGTCAACATCTTCTGAACAGGATACTGAGTTTGTAACAAAATAATAATGGTCAATTTAAACACACTTTAACTGTATCAAACTGAAGAAACTGTCTGGAACACTGGTCAGAGGTTGACTCTTGGGGCAACAAGTAAGGTCACTTGGTTTTCCATGTGGTTTGAAATATTTCTATCTTTTTTGCAGAGCTTGAATTGTTCTGGTAAGTTAGTGCCTGTGTAAGAGTATATTTTTAACCTTAAAAAAGGGAAGTGAAAGTGCTTTCTCGGTATTTGTCGAGGGGCAAAAAAAGGGAACAACTAAAAAATGCAATCTTAGGTACATTTGTCCACTTTTAACTCTTAGAATATTGTATTTTGTTCTACCACCAAGGATGATCTCAACATCTTTCTAAAAGCGTTAGGGTCTCATGGCTGTCTCAGGAATAATGGGGTCAATTTAGGTGGGGGCATTATTCCGGTCACTTGGGAGGAGGCATTGTGAGGAAATGCAAATGATCAAGTTCTTAAAGACTGGCTGAAAGAGGAAGGGTACTCTACAGTCCCGCTCTCACTTGGCAAATCTGTTTTTCTCTCCGTTCATGATGAAGCTTTTTGGAGCTCTGATCCTGTTTATTACTCTGTCTGCAGGTAAGAACAGCTTTTGATTTAGACTCATGTGCACTGACTGAACATTCAAACATGAAGAAAGGTAATGTGTTGATGTTAAAGTGTATTATAAGAGCTGAAAAGTGGTTTCAAAAAGTAACAAGTTAGATATTTTTGGAAACAAGCATATTCACTTTGAAAAGATTGATCCCACTGTTGTAGTGATTTTGAAAAAGGATTACTGTTTCACATATATTGTATATTTAACAATTGGAACTAAAAATAACTATGAGCCATTTTATTTTACTTTATTTAAACTTCCTTTGACCTTCCCTTTTTCTTTCACCAGGCAATGCAAATACAATAGAGCCACCTTTGCACACTTGCAAACAAAACCAAATCAGACACTCCTTACACTTTACCCTGATAAGCCGGCTATTTTATCTTTTGTGGTTATGTATGACCTGTGGACATGGGGGCTCATTGCTCTTTGAACTCAATTGAGTGGCAATTTCTGCTGGCATGTGACTTTTTTGCACAATATGTTGTTTGTTTGATCATAGTTTTACAAAGTACTTTAAAATACTTTAATTAACCTAACTACATTTCTCCCTAGGGTAGCTTTGCTGTAGTTTAAATTGTTTCAGGTTGTTGAATTGGTACAGTAGCTTCCCCAACCCTGCATCTTTGGCATGTTTTCACCTGATGTGTTTTTTGTGTATATGTACAGCCTGTGGATTAAGATGCTACACATGCACCGCCACCGACCCTAAATCCTGCATTGACACCAAATCTTGTCCAGTCATCTTCAACCGGTGTTTCTCTCTCAGAATAGACGGTTAGTTGTTCATTCACCTAATACATTTCTAAAGCTACAGTTGCAATCAAAATGATTCAACCCCCTTTGCACATTAAGTTTATTAATGATCCTAAGCATACCTCAAAGTCAACCAAGGCCTGGTTTCTGAAGAAGAAATGGAAGATTCTAGAGTGGCCGTCACAGTCGCCTGACTCTATGAACCCCATTGAGAATCTCTGGTGGGAGGTCATTGCCCGTGAGGAATGGGCTAAGATTCCTCAGGAACGCTGTCAGAAGCTGGTGTCTGGCTATGCATCACGTTTGCAGCAGGTCATAACAGCAAAACGGTGCTCCACTAAGTACTGAAGATGCTTGTCATGAAGGGGTTGCATATTGAATTTGGATTAGTCTTTCAAATTAGCATTTTGTGTTGAATTTGGGTAAAAAGCCTTATAATATTAGTTTCATTGAATCTACTTAAACAGTTATTGTGTAATTTGTTCATTGCAAACAGCTGAGAAATTGTAAATTTTGCAAATAAACAATAAATAATGTGCAATGGGGATTGAATAATTTGGATTGCAACTGTAATATTCCACTCACAAAAAACAACAATCATACAATAGTCTTGTTTTGTGAACTGGTTTCATATATTTCTTTTTGCAGGTTATACCATGGTAACCAAGGGTTGCCAAAACAGCATAGCATGTGGCGGTGCCATGGCTTGCTGTGAAGGGAACTTGTGTAACAGTGCCCTGCCCACTGCTCCCTGCATCATCCTCCTGCTGGTCTCCTTGGCCTCCATCTTTTTCTGAGGTTCTGGGACTTCGTTATTTCTACGCTTTTCCTGATCCAACTGAAGAAGAATAAGCAATTATTATATTTACATGCTCTTCCAAACCTCTATTTCTAACACAATAAGATTGTCTTTGAATGTTTAAATCAAACTAATGATGTTGTCCCTCTGCCGGATATTAAATTGGCCATATACTGTTTGAAGACGGTTGGTTTCAAAACTGTTGTAATGATATGTTCAGAAGATGGTTTCTTGGTGTGTTTTTTTGTTGATAATCAAATCCAATAGTTAGTTACCATGAAGTCTCCTTATATATATTGCGTGAGACAAATAGATCACATTTCATAAAGAACAGAGAAAAAAGTCTCTACCTGATCGGTCTCAACGCTGTGTGTGTCCGTCAGGAAACACGCTGTGTACAAACAGTTCCAGCAAACATCCACTGATAAATTGCGATGTTAACAACCTCATGATAACCTGATCTTTTTTTAATTTAGGATCATACCTGTGTTTAGTCTAGAAAAAGGTAAATGTGTGCATTTTATTATAAAGTTGTGTATATTTACAAACTGTTGCAAAAACTAAGAAGCTTATAAACATCAGGTTTGAAACTAAAAGAGCTTTACAAAAAAGTAACACAATTAAAGATGTTTGGAGTTTTATTTTAGTTATTCATTTTAATTGTTTGTCTAAGAGATGCTGATTTGAAACCGTTGTTACAACTTTACAGCATTTCCTGTTTCTGCCGGAGAGAGGGGAGTTTGTCCCAAAGCTAGCCGCTGTATTTACTCCCTCCATCTGACAAGAGGGAGCCACATTAGCCGCTTTCACACCAAGTACTTTGCCGTACTTAGTTCCCAGCACTTAGTTCCCAGCACTTAGTTCCCAGCACTTATGGCGCATTTCCATTGCAGGGCCTCGCTCAACTTAGTACGGTATAGTTAGGCCTTCTTAGGCCTTGTTAGGCCTGGCTCACTTTATGCTGCGTTTCCATTACAGTTTAGTAGCTGGGGCAGTAACGCAGTGTAGGCGGAGCCGTGACGTCATCTTCAATGCGAACCACAGAAAAACAACATCAGCCGTTAGCTGTTGGCACTCAAGCTCACAGCTCCTCATATCTGTTCAGAAACTAGACAAAAGTTAAACAAGTACAAACCACAGACTGTCTGTGTCATGGCAAGTACAGTCGCTGCTTTATTTATGTCTGTATAGGCCGTTGTTGTGAGTGTGGATGGTCGGAGCATAGACTGCGTTAGCTTAGCCAATCTCCATTTAGAAAACACGCATTTTAAACGGTTTTTCGCCTGCCGTCTGTCTGCAGACTTGTCAAAGCATTAATTCATGGTTTTTACTAACCGGTATCAGTATGTTGTTACTTCGGCATCATTTTGAAACGTGTATTACAATTAAATCACAGTCAAATCTGTTCATTTTGTTGTAGTTGTAGCCCCCTTGCCAGCGATTCTCTCTCTCTAGTTTAGCATACTCAGCCTAGTTGTTGGCCCGCTAAAAACCTCGATTTTATGGGGCCAGAAAAACTGTGAAATAGTGCCTGCTAGCCGGTACTACACCTAGTGGAAACGCAACCAAAAACGTGCACGGAACGCTTAAACCGCGCTCCGTGCTGTAGTGGAAATGCGCCATAAGAGCCGATAGCATTCACACCGGAATAAGTTCCCTGAGGGAAGATTAGTCAAATGAAGCCGCTGACGTCACTTCTTCTTCTTCTGCTTTGGGTTTACTGGCAGGCCGCAAACAACTTCACGGCGTATACTGCCACCCGAAGTCCCCGGCCGGAAGTCCCCAGAGTTGGGGACTGGCTTCAGTAGAAGCTGCTGGGACTCCCAGGTCCAGCAGCTTCTACTGAAGCCTTCCGAGTATATCGCCAGAACCTCCTCATCACTCCACCGCTCCCATGTTTTTTTTTTGTGTTGCCATAAGTTATTCTCTCTCCGTTGGTGCGCGGGGCTAATGCTAATGCTAATAATGCTAATGCCAGCAAATACAATGGCGGCTTCAAAAAACTTTTCAGAGTTTTACGGGGCGTGGTTTGCAATTCGCCCAGCCAATCAGAAATTGGTAGTTTTTTCTCCCCAGGATAGTCCCACCTCTCTAGCAGGCACTAAAAATGGGGGTAAAAGTTATCTTTTTGGTGTGAACGCAAAATTCCAGGCACTAACGGAACTAAACAGGAAAAGTACGGGGAAAAGTACTCGAGTGTGAAAGCGCCTATTGAGCTGCGAGTTTCACTACACGGAGTTCACTCCGTCACGGAGGGGGAGTGTGTAGGGGTAGGGTGTAGGGCGTGGTTTGGGTTTGGGCCGACGTGTTCATAGACCACAAAAGGAAGCTTGAACACCTCACCTGGACATTCTGTTTTGCTGTCAAATATTTGACATGTGTGGCTTTCCCAGCTCACACACGAGACAACACACCCTTGTTTGCATGATTTGCTCTCCCCTGTTTGTATTTTGAAGTCCTTGAATGTGTACATGGCACATATTCATATGAGTCATTAGCTAAAATATTAATAAAATATGTTAATAAATCATGTATTTTACTTCAGCAGAAGAGGACTGTGAGAAGGAGGTTCAGTGCTGAGTGTGTGGCATAAAGCTACTGAAGGCCAAGAAAGGACTATGGTGATGTTGTGTACATGTAAATAAATGTGTTCTGAAATGTTCTCAATGCTGAGAGAAAAAGTAATTAGTTTAGACTGGACCCCTGAAGTTAATGAAAAAAAAAATACATGTAACTGGGTCTCGATTGAGCAACAGGTATGACCCAAAATAAATTAAACTCAAATTTGCAGGATTTTTATTTAAAAATAGAATGTGGACAAAATTGTAATAATATTAGTTGTGTTTTACATTTGGTCATTGATATGAATGCAATTGAAACAATCCAAAAGCTTATCAAATAAAGTGAATGTGGACGAATGTCATGATAGGCATTGTGTTACGGTTTTGTATTTATGTTTTCATTTTCCACCTTTTGTTTTGAAATGTTTTCCTCCTTGTGTCTTCTCTGTTCCTTCTTCCTGTGTTTGCCTTCCTGTCGTTAGTTTCCCTGGTGTGTCTGATTGTCTGATTGTGTTCACCTGTTGCCCTTGTGTTTCTGCCTCCCTTACCCCAGCTGTGTCTTGTCTTGTGATTACCCCTCTCTGTATTTAGTCTTGTCTTCCCCTGTGTGCCTTGTCGGTTGATTGTTGGTTTTTCCTGTCTCCCTCCATGTCAGTCACGGTCAGTTTTTGTGCTACCTATGTGTTTCATGCCATGTTTTTGTTCAGCTTTTAAAATAAAGCTCGCTTTTTGTTTATAGACCTTTTTACCTTTTTTTGTAGTCTGCATTTGGGTCCTACCCTTTCCACGCATCCTAACACATTGGTGTCTAGGATATGTGACATGCAAGTTATTGAACAAAACTATATAATCTTTCAAAAAAGGTGTGCCACATAAGGCACTCTTATTATGGGCATAGTATAACAGAAACAAACAGAAACCGGTTTGGTGCACGGCTGTCTCGGTAATGTGATCACTTTGGGAGGGGGCTAGGGAAATACATTTTCATGTTTGAAGGACTATAAATTGGAAGAGTATTATTATCTACTTTATTGTATTATCACGGGTACAGGTCTACTTTCCATGCCTTGCCACAAGGTCCACAGCAAGTCACAATATTTGAGACATTGAATTGTGTGTGTTCAATTCAAGTGTTCTATAATCAACAGTATAAACATGCAGTGAACTCTGACTTAAAAGTAGTGCATAAAACTCCGGCTGCCTCCACTACCTCATCCTCCAAGTATGCCACCAACATTCTTGTCATAAGCAAAGCTTAATAATCATCTTCCTTTAATCTACAAGTATGTATTTCCCAAATTGTATCCAAGCGTAACTTTTGTACTTGACTTTTTCCTTCCATTATCCGGAGCTTTTTTGACACAGAGCAGAGAAATAACGTCAGAGTTTATCAAAGTTTTGACACTGTTTAAAGATTTAAATAGATAATTCAAGCGTTGCCTTAAGCTGCGTGATTGTTTTTGTAAGGACTGGGGCTGAGATTCCATGTATATGAATACCTACACTGTAATCCATGCACTATTCATCTACCTGCTGTGAGCTGTCATTAATGTCCACTTTATTTTGTAACACATGTAACTGGGTCTCGGTTGAGCAACAGGTATGACCCAAAATAAATTAAACTCGAATTTGCAGTATTTTTATTTAAAAATAGAATGTGGACAAAATTGTAATAATATTAGTTGTGTTTTACTTGTCCAGAATAGTATTACAATGTTGCATTCATTTGGACTCATTTGGTCATTCATATGAATGCAATTGAAACATTCCAAAAGCTTATCAAATAAAGTGAATGTGGACGAATGTCATAACATCCGATAGGCATTGGTGTCTGGATATGTGACATGCAAGTTATTGAACAAAACTATATAATCTTTCAATAAAATATCAGTTATCAAAAAAGGTGTGCCACATAAGGCACTCTCATTATGTGCATAGTATAACAGAAACAAACGTAAACAAACAGAAACCGGTTTGGTGCACAGCTGTCTCTGGGGTAATGTGATCACTTTGGGAGGAGGCTAGTGAGGGAAATAAGTTTTCCTGTTTTTAGGACTATAAATTGGAAGAGCATTGACGGGGTTGTCATTTTCCCTCCAGTTTTTCTCCCACACGGGTTATTTAAGGTGTGATTTCCTCTCTGTTCAAGATGCATTTTTATGGAGCTCTGATCCTCTTCATGACACTGTCTGCAGGTAAAAACAACTGATATATTGGCTTCATGTTGAAACACAAAGAAATGTAAGTTTTTTCTAAGTTATCATGATGGTGACCTGGAATTATGTCGCAGTAGTTTGATATGGCACATTCTTTTATAATGAATTTAAAGGCATGTATTTTTATCAGATTTAAAAATATTTAGTTGTGCATCCATACTTTGATTTAATAGACCTATTTTCAGAAATTGCAACTAAGCAAAAGTATTGGAAGCAAAATACATTTTTATTGTGATTTTGAGGATGGTGATAAAAAGAGCATTACATTATGTGTATCCTGAACAATGTTTGCCACTTTTCTCCATTTCTGTATAGTCTATGGGTTGAAATGCTACAGATGTGATCCAGGTGTTGTCTGCTCAACGGTGGTGACATGTGCTTCCGGATTTAACCGTTGTTTCAGCGCCGAGTACATGGGTGAGTTAGCACTTCAAATAGAGATCATCAGTGCTATATTTCTCTTCAATTGCTTGGTGGCTTGTTTAAACTGAGTTTCTTTATATCGCACCTTGCAGGTTTGAAAGGCTTTGGTTGCATTCCCAGCAAGTTATGTGTTGATCCCTTTAAGTGCTGTTCCCAAGACCTGTGTAACAGCGCCATGCCCGCCGGCAGCAGTCCGCTCCTCCTGCTGCTCTCCTCGGCCATCATCACCATCTTTCTCTGAGGCTCCGGAGCAGCTACAGCTTAACAAAATGTGTCTTCTTTTTTTGGAACCCTAGAAGAATAAATACAT